TTTATCCCACAGCCGACACTTTTCAGGAAGCAAAATACGTTGGTCCTGAGTTGCACGTGCTTGATAAAATCATTTTTATAGCAATTTAGACTCGCCTATCATTTTTCCCCATACCTAACGATTTGGCACAGCCAATTGTATGCGTTTTCAAGTCTTGATTTGCAGCACCAAACCCCGTGACCGCACACAGGAGAGAAAGAGGAAAGAGGAAGTGCAGACGGATTCCTCTGACCTGCCTACCTTCAACCCACTCATTTTTAACATGTCACCAGCAACATAGTACTGTACTGGAGGATGAGCTCCAGTTGGAGGATCCTCAATTCCTCACTGCCTGCAACACCCCAAGTTGCCACAGGGGTCACTGTGTCACGAAGACCCAATAGAGACCAGGCTGACTGAACTGAATCCCACCCTACAGCACTGGCCAAACTGCTCCCGCATGGGAAACCCAAATCAGTCAGCTGGCATTGTGACCCATACTCGAACTTGCGACCATAGAGCTAAGGTGGAGTATGCACCCCGGTGAGTGCCTTTACCAGTCGAGCCATTTGAAGTTTGTGGTTTCTAAAACCAGTCTGAATGTTTACTGCCAAGGTAAACCAAGTTAAATTTAGCCATCCAATCTGATCATTTGCTAAGCTACCATCTATTTTTGTCATTTTACAGGCCAGGAAAATCAGACCTACTAATGGAGAGCAGTGTGGAAGGTAGACGGAGATGGGAAAAGGAAAAAAAAAACTCTGCAAAGGATTTAATGCGTCAGAACAGGGATGGAAAAAAATGAAAAAACTGTAAATAGAGAAACATTAAGTGATGGGTCAAGAACATTTTTAAAAACTTAAAATCCCCACATTACTTACAAAAAACAACAAAAGCCTAATTATTATGGTTCCATTTCACTATTTTGAGTCCGTCAGATTGAGGAATCAGATGTACACAGGTACATTCCATTACTGAGTTCGCTGGGGGAATGCTAGCTAATTGCTCCAGCCTGTCAATTAACTTACACAGTGAAAAACAACGGACAATCTAATAGGCAATTAGTTTTCATCTAAAGACGCAACTTCAGGGATGCATCCTTACCTCGAGCCACTTTGGAAAACACAAGAACAAACTTTGCTTTTTTTAAAGAAGTTAACTTGCCTGCAGAAGACCTAAGCAAAGCCAAATTTGAACATAGGTCAGCGCAACCTCAGCACGTTCACAACACATTAAATAAACCAGCACTGTGCAACAAGAATGACTTATTTCCCAAATTGAAACAAAAAAGTTCTCACTATTTTTTCTGGCTGGTGCTTTGCAGCCATTTTTATAGCTGGGTAATTAACTGGAACAACCGATGAGCACCTTGCTCAAAGGTAAAACAGCAGAACTTAATTTCTATATATTTGTATTGCATACAATAAGATTTACTTCATTCTAACATATTATATTCAAGTCCGCATGTTCTCACCCTAGTTTCTGTAGATTTCCACTGCGTGCTTGTTTGAATGTCCCACAAAAGTTATTTTGACAGCAGACTATTCAGGCAGCACATGGGGTGTGGGATTTTAAGAATGGATTTAAAAAAAAGGCTTATGCCAAACAACAACAACAAAAATGTTCCAATCTTGCAACACTTTAGCTAAAAAAAACTTCTCACATTTTCCATTGGCAGCATTTCTAAGCAAGAAGAAAGGGCCTCAACATCAGATACGTTTACGGATCGGCCAAAAAAAAAACGTTTATAGAAACTCTTGCACATTACAGTAAGCTAACAGGGTGCAGATTACTTTAATTTGGTCCAGGTATGAAGAGAGAAATTTCAGTACATGAAAAGAGATGTTTGCCACTACTGTGCAATAGTTCCTTGTACCAACAGTCCACCCTGACCGAAACTCTTCTCTATGTGGTCATGCTACAGAACGGGTAATACAGGGATCCTGCAACAGGAACATAATTAGAAACGGACAATTGTTTTAGTTTGGTTCACTTTTTGAAACTATTTGCTGACTGTCAGGTTCTACTTAGCTCAAACTGCAAAAAAACATCTTTAAGTACCCGTGACTGGAAAAAAACATTTTTCTGTTCGAGCTCCAGTGCCAACATGAATATTTTATCTTTGGCTTCCAGGTTAAGACAGATTTGAGACTAAAGTCACGTCAGAACAGATCTTTTGCTTTCCTGATCAGGGTTTGTAATATGGTGTCTTGTACAGCAGACAGTGGCATTTTTCATCACTGCACTGTCATCTGAGCTTCGGGGACAAAAACGTCATATCAAGGAGATAAATAGGGCTTCCAACACTGGGATGAATGTGCTTGAGTGGCTGCTTCTAGATAATGGATGTGAAATTCTCACCCATTCATTGAGGGCCACAAGACTCCAGATTTTATTGCACTTCAGATATTGATTGCTTACCTTATTTGTTTAAAGAAACTGAAATTAATTCACTTCCGGTAAGGCTCTCTCCCTCCGAAGTCCCCCTCCTCTACCAGTGCATGTCAGTGATCTGGCCAGCAACTAATTCTGTATTTCTCACAAGCAGATTATATTATATAGCATACTAGCATGACAACATATATTTATTAATCTAAACTTGCTTTCATGCAACATATATGTTGCATCTGAGGTTGGACTGGGACTATGGTGTTTGGCACAGTTAGTAGCACCTGAAAGGTCATGCCAAAAGCCTGCTCTCCCAGAATCCCCTCTGATCTCTCCAAGATCTCTGATTGCGCACAAGAACCCAGACAAGCAACATCACACTCTCAGACTTATTATACATTGTAAGGCCAGTTACAGGAAATAAAGACGTGCACACACTTTACTACAGATGACCAGGTGGTTTAGTCAAAATCATGGCACTGGTAAAGCTGGGGGTGTGAGCCTTATTTGGGGAAAAACAACATCTGGAGATTACAGTAACAGGACAATTTTGCATGCTTTACATTAGTTAAACTAAATTGATTATTTCATTTCTCCATGTATGCTTTCCTGATCTCACTGCAGAACAATTCGTCAACTGCACTTTCACATTTCTACACTTGTCAGCGCCACAAGGGAACTGAACTAATAACTTTAACCCCACTGCACCACCCCTGTGTGAAGACGGAATTCTTTCTTCCACAACACAAATCCAAAACACCCTAAAAATCAAGATTGTGAGTTCCCCCACTTGCACGAACAGGAGATATCTAAACAAGAGGCTGCACTGAGAAAAGTCTTCAGTAAAGAACACAGACCTATAGGCAAAACCTGAACTTTTCGTGTCAAATACACGAGTCTCAGCAGTTTCTGAAGAGCGCTGCTGCTGCTCTCCTGCAGGTCCGATAAATCGCACTCTTCAGTACCGGATAAGAGCGCAACATAACCTCGCCTTCCCCTTTACTAGACTAAGGCTCCGTTAATAGCAGAGCCCGGAGCTAAGAGTTTGCGTTTAGGAAAGTTTCGCTGTCAGCAATACTTCAGCAAACTTAAGGAACTACCACACCCTCGCCAGATTCGGGTTTCAAGACGAGATCGAACTGACAAGCAAGAAGGGAACTCCATGACAGCGCCAGTTCGAGCAACAGAGATACTCCCTAACCCACAGCACTGGTCGCAAAGCTTGCGCACAGCGCTCTTTCGCAATGCAAGCCAGTTTTTAAAAATCGCAGCGGTAGCCGTTTCCCTTTGATTAAAATCTCTTAAGAACCACCTGTGAGAAGTGACTCCATACATTTTCGTTTCACAAGTAATATTTAACTCGCTTTCCGTTATTCCCAATACGCAACCAAAACTGCTCTCAAGGGGAACTAACCCCATTTCTAACTAAGCACAGCGCAGTCCACGTTTGAAGACATCAATACAGCTTACAAATAAGGGAGTGTCTGTGGCTGTCCTTAGAATTATACATTTCTAAAGGTGAAGGTACTGTCCCATTTTCTGTGCACCACAGACTGCGCTCAGCACTTCACAACTAATATTTTATAAACATAAAAATCCCCAAGTATTCACTAATTTGGCAGCATAGCGCATAATTGCACACCTCTCAAATACAGTATGTCAGTTACAAAGTAGAACTCATTTACGGTTTTCGTGGCGTCAACTCAATTACCAGCTACCACTTAGTTCAGGTGTTATACGGGAAGATTTTATTTTGGAAGAGCTATGTCTGTCCATGCAAACTAGATTGCTACGTTTTACAGCACGTTTCCCCATCTAGAATCGAAACACCACCTACCTGTTTTGGTACGCAAAACTGACAATTGGGTCTCGACAGTAAGTTTGTCTTTGTTTTCAGTCTTATTTGAATATTCCAATTTGATTACTTTTGCGCAATAGGCGGCTTCATTTGATAAGAATATTCAAAGCAATGACTAAAACAAATCGAGAGAGAGAGAAAAGAGTCGACAATTTTTTTTTTAAAATATACAGTATCGATATCAACCCAGTTACTTGGCACTAGGGAGGGGGACCTCTTTGAAACAGGAAGTCGTTTGCAAAATCTAACCTGATTTACCAGCTACTTAACACCAAAACAGGCCCTAACGAGGAACTCAAATATACAAGTTCGCCAATAGCTGTTGACTATGAAAAGGCATACCACAGTGTTCCTGAAACAACGCGATCGCCCGAGCATAGGACATTTTACAAAATATATTAGATACTGTTCTCCATAATCCGGATTCAAAGACGGAACTAACTTGGCTTCATTCCTGTCAAGTACAGTTAAACCACACTTTTAGCCTAATCTAAGAAGACTGCAACGACATGTAAAATATAACACAGTGAAGTGGGTACAAACCTGTCTCACATTTTATAAAACCGCAAGATTATTATTTTTTTAAATAATGAATCATTTTAAATGATCATGCAGCGGAGCAGCTGAAAACACAATTTTGCATGGTTGAAAAAAGTAGGAAGTGCGCGGAGATGTTGGGAGAATCGACTCTGGGGCTTTTTACGTCTCCAAAAAACGTAATCTGCAAAATGGTTGCCCACAATTAAATTAAAAACATTTAAAACCAGCTCCCTACCTTCTCCTCATCAGTAAGCTGCTCCTCAAAGTCGGCCATCTTGGCTCCTCTGGACCAGCCCCAGTATGCGCTGCATCATGGGAAACACACAAGCCGTCTGCAGTCTTATTATTTTTAAATATGGCCTCTTCAAACACATCAAAAAGGTAAAAAGGGGGGTGCTACTGCCGACTATTGGTCATTCTGCCGATTAATACATCTTAAAAGTCTGAAATTGACGCTTAATATTTACACCTTTTCACTTTAATTTATCGTCGTAATTTTTGGTATAGTAATACATTTGTTTCAGGTGTTAACTTGTACAGTGCTTTCAGAGTTTACCAATCATCTTTGTACTGTATGTTTTATATTTAGGTGTTTGTGTTTTATTGGTGTATTAACTGACAATTCTCTTCCTCTGTGTTTTGCATTTTTTAAATCATTTTCAATTTTATAGATCAATGAAGCTTTTAGCAAATAATTATTTTAATAACTTTATTTTATATAACATCTTTAATGGCACAATCTCAAGAGTTATATAATAAAATAATCAAACAAAAGAGACAGGTGTGCAGAAGTTGTGACAATATTAAAAACTGGAGTATGAAAGTGGGTTTTATGACAGGATTTCAAAGTGTTGACTTGCATGCAAGATTGGATAGGAGGTCATCCACAGCCTTGGAGCAACAGAACAGAACTCCCAGTCTCCCAGTTTTTGGAGTCTTGTATTGGGAACTGAAAGAAGGCCAGAGATTCAAGAGTTTAAACAAGGTGCAATGGGAGACCTCTAAGGAAAGCTGAGATGCGCCTTTAAGTGGCTTTGGTCAACCAGTAGGTGTCACCCTTTCCCCTGGTCCATAAATTCCAAACCAATGCTTCAGTATAGTTTCCTCCAAGGACCGGCTGGTACTGTAGGTTAATTGACTTGTGTAAAACTGGCCCTGGTGTGAGTATATGTGCATGCCCATGTCTATGTGTGCCCTGTCCATGGTGTATTCCGCCAGGAGTCCAGTGCTCCTCAGGATAGGCTCCAGTCCAACCTCAGATCCTGAACAGGATGAGTGGTGATTGATGGTGATGCCAGAGTATACTGTGCTGGAGAAGGAGTCACTCTTTAGATGAGAAATTAAACAGAGGATGATGGCTTCATCATTGTAAGATCCATGTTTGAAAGTGTAGGGCTGTTAAACCTGGTTTGAAGGCTATACTCCACTCTGGGGCCAGTCTAGCCTACCTGACATTTTCAGGTGGTGACGCAGTCTCCTGTGTAGTGGGACTGCCCAGATATGATGGCCTATATGTCACACCGGCGGATGAAGTGTGTTCTTATGTAAAGCGCTTTGCAATCCTTTAAGATTGAAAATATGAAGGAAATGAAATTAGTTCAAATTTAGGCTAAATGTACTAACGTACATCCATTCATTTTCAGGGTTCTCAGGGGAGTCGGAATCTGGTCCAGCAAGCAACGAGCACAAGCCATGGTATGCAAAGACATGGCAAACTCTGGGTTTTTCCCCAGAAGCCGATAAGCCTGTCAGTATGGTTTTGGATTGTGGAGCACCTGGAAGAAATCCACATGAACACGTACAGGCAGCAATCTAGGTCCAGAATTAAACCCAGGGCCCCAGTGCCAAGCACTGTGCCACCCTACCGACATACTATTCTGCACAAAATCTTAAGTGGACAACTATGATGTATAGTGGATTATGCTATAACTTATAGGTGTCCTTAAAAGTTACTTATACATGAAAATGGCTATTTACCTACAGACTGTTACATTGATGACTTCCCTCCCCCGCTCCCCAATAAACACCATCACAGACACAAATAATTGTATTCAAAAATCCAGATATGTACTATAGAATTCTCCTCTTTTGCCAGTTTAATCTTGTTAGCTTTTTATGGTTGTATAAGTATGGTTGTATAAGTAGGCATACATTGAAAATGTTTTTCAAATGTTTAATGGTATTTGGTAATTGAATGATTGAAGGGAGATGACTATCACTCATATCTATAATATGCCATCAGCCCAAGAAAGCCAACATCTCACTATTTGTAAAACGCAAAACATTTGAAGGACACTTTCAAATACATTTTAAATCCTAAGTAAGTGTCCCTTTTCATTTGATCAAAATTAAACCAAAATGTTAAGGTCATTTATTTTGAATATTAGCAATCAAGTTAAATGTAAATACTATTTCTGCCATATCTCATCTGAACTGTCTTCAGAGCCATAAAATTAAATCTTATAACGTTTACATCATAAACATTAAAACCAGTTTATTTTATTTTATATAATTATGATAATAAATGTGCAATATTTTGTATCATTAGTACAATCAGCATTATTGTTGGGAACAAAACCAGGCTGGACAGAGAATATACTGGGACAGTAACATACATTATGGTTTCTCATCCAAGATAAATATTTATTTTCTATAAATGCTTAAATCTAAAATAAGGGGCACTGTAAATTAAAAAGAGGTGAAAACGCCTCCCAGGCGTCTCTAGGCCTACAGCTGCAAACGCCTGACGTTCACCATTTAAAATTAAATAAATATATGACGCTTTAGTGACTCCACACATTGGCTGTAGCAATTCTTATCAGCTAACAGTACTGCAGAGGACAGTCCTCCACTATCCCATAGTTCCTGTGTTTATATTTTTTCTGGGTAAACATGGCGGATGCAAACAACAGTAGCTCATCGTCTCCCGGATTTACGGAGAAATTAAAATCCTGGCTCTCGTGGTCTTGGACTTATTTATGGGTCCTTTGGTTTGCTATGCTGTTGGCTCTAGTCTACATTCTCCGGAGCCCCCTGAAGCTACAGGAAAACCTCGCTACAGGTAAAAACTGTTGAATCAGATGATAAGGGGAGATATCTGGAACTGACAGGTTTCAGTTCGAGCCGAGGGAAATTTGCAAACAGTTACTTTTATACGATCCGGGTGGAGTGTGCAACTGTATTTCTGCGTCCTTTAAGCAGCCCCAGTACGGAGAGGTGTTTATGTCTGACTGTCAACTTCACGTTTGCATGAAAGGAGATTTTGGTACCGGTCTGTACTCCCTTATGGACACACTGCCTTATGACAGTGCGACCGATGTTCCTCTACATCGGAAATCGTTGCTTTTCCAGGCCTTTTCTACTTTTCGTAAAGTGAAAAAGACAGTCAGCGCCATTCTCACGTTAATTCATTCTATTGTAAACACGTAACCCAACTAACTAGCCCATTAAATACAAATGGTCATCATATTTCTAACATACTAACTTGCAAATAGGGATAGAACTATCTTAAAGTATTCTCAGTATGACACCTCTTGAAAACGTCATTTGTTGTGTGTATTAGTGTGTGATGCACAAAAAGTGTCCATGTAAACCTTTTTTTTCATCAGTGTGTAACTCGTATCACTCCTAACACACTTGTACTCATCTACCACACTGCTTCATAGCTACGAACAGTACGTCAAACAAGATATTTAAAAGCTACAGAATTGCACAGAGATATTGCATTTGGATTGGTCCTTACATTATGATCTATCATAAAAATAAATAATAATCTTTGATCCAAATTTAATTTCATTGAGTGAAATAAAAACAAATCAATCTTTTGTATAAGCCAATCTTAAATTCATGCCTGTATGATTTGTAGAGGACAAAATATAAGATTTTGGTACAGAATACTTTAAAAGTTGGCCTATATAATGGAATAGAGAGTCCTAGTACACATTAGAGCTATCACTATACCTTGGTACCAGAAGGCATTGTGGTATGTATCTGTTAAAAAGAACTACAGGATTACATCTAAGGATCTACAGAAGGTACTTATACAAATGCACTGATGAACGTATAAAGTAGAATAGTTTTATATTATTATATATGTATGTTTTTTTATTTATTTATAAATATCCAGCATACTATGATGCCTTTATGAAAGTCGTTAACCCGTAAACTTGAAATGTTTCAAGCTCCTCCTCAGTGGGAGTCTTGTCGTTTTCCCTAAATCACCCTTTCCCTTGTACATTTCTGTACTGACCTCATAACTAAAAATAAATAGAAGAAAGTACATCATGTGATATTAGTCTTTCTGCAGAAAGTACCTCCTGAATATACTGGTCTTGGGTGAAAACAGAACAAAAATCCAGTAGAGTGGGAATGTTAAGCACTGAAATGCCTGCAGTTTAAGGTGAACACCTTGCTAATCAGCCTTTTTCTTTCCAGTGTCTGTGTTCCTGAACACTCTTACCCCCAAGTTCTATGTTGCGCTTACTGGAACCTCATCACTCATTTCTGGACTCATTTTGGTGAGCGCTATCTGCTGCTTTAGACAAAAATGAATTGGTCTTTCAGTTTATTAACAATATTTTACTTGCATTGTTGCTCTCAGAAATTGATGCTTAATAATTCAAACAGAAAATGATGAAACTGTAGAATGGATTATCACCATACAACCGGCAAAGTTTGTTAATATGAAAGATTAGCTTAAGACCTTTTTATGATTAATTATGCATTTGTTCTTGTAGTGTTTTGTATTGTAAACATAATTCCCTTAGCAGATATAATTACTGCATCTTGTATTCCTTTTGCTGTTCATATTCTTTGCCATGTAAACAACTTGAAATGTCCAGCATATTATGATGCCTTGTGTAATTTATAGGATCAAAATCTAAAGTTTTTATGGCTCTATGTGTATATATATTTATAGTCCTACTGTATGTACATTTTACAGTGAAGTTTTTAAAGATATTGTACCTTGGACTCTAGCACAAGCTACAAAAAAAAACAAAATAATGACTTGAGCCTTCTGTGGTTACAAACCTGGAACAGCAGTGGCGAGCTGCGTTCCTTATTCTAAATACTTCTTTTCCAGATATTTGAATGGTGGTACTTCCGCAAATATGGAACCTCTTTTATTGAGCAAGTCTCTGTTAGCCATCTGCGACCCCTGCTGGGCGGAGTGGAGAATGGCAGTCCTTCTGGCCTGTTCTCCTCAGTTAATGGAGAGACAGAGTCCAGACCGAATGTTTCAGGTACAGACTAAGGCTGCTTTAGAAGCCTTTTCCTCCTGCAACTTTTTTTTATCACAAACACTGGGGTCCCTGTTGTGATTATTTGGTCACCAGAATTAATAAAAAAGACTCCTGCACTTTGACCTCAACAGAATGAAACACATGCAGCGTTTGATATAATGGGAGCACTCCATTCTTGTTGTAGAAGAAGGAGAACCCCTGCCTTTGATTTTACAAACTGCATTGTGTATCAAAACAAAAATCTCAATTAGAGTGTGTTAGAGTGTATTCATAAACAACAATGGCTTAAAGAGACTAAACTATGCAAATATTACCTTTAAAAGATATAATATTCCTTTTTCCCTGATCAGACCACAGTACTAAATTGAGAGGTGTATGCTCTAAAAAAAGCTATTTTCCTTTTGTTGTAATGCTGTCTTGTTTCTTTTGCAGAATGCAAGGTGTGGAGGAACCCATTAAACCTGTTTCGAGGTGCAGAGTACTGTAGGTGCGTTTCTGGCAGCCTATATATCTGTGCCAGTCCCTAGAAAGGGTTATTGAGAGTATGAGAAAGTTTGAAAGGTGATTTGTGTGATGCAGACAGGTTTTATTTTTTATACTCCTGTTGCATTTCTAAATTGTAACAGCTCACAAGAGCTTGTGCTTCCTCATTTCTCTTCCTCCCCTCAAGACGGTGTCTGTTGGTGATTCCATGTTAAGATGACGCATTTGCCTGCGATTATCAGAGACAAGTATCATGTTTTAAGGGTCAGTACTGCTCGGGTAACAGGATATTTGCAGGGTCAGATTAAGGCATAGGCAAACTGACCAAGCAGCTAGGGTCAAGAGTTCAAGGAAATCTGATCAGATAGGCATTAAAAGAATTGTCCATATTTAATACAGAGATATTTAGAAAATAATGTCAAAAACATTCTACCTATAATATAAAAACATTAATTTAGTTAATTTCGGAGTCCTCAACATAGATACAGCATACCGTTTTTGAGAGCAACAAAGAATAAACAAAATGAAAAGGATGAAGGTAGATGATGTAGAGGGATTAATGGAGGAATTCCTTACATCGGTAACATCATGTTTATCTCAGCCAGTGGAATGACCAGAGCCTGTTTCAAAGGCACCAGGAGTGGGAATTAAGGGGGTTTGACAACATAGGATCTTAGTTTGACATCATCGCAACAGATATTGACAGTAGTGGAAGATGTAAAAAGAAGTCTAACATTTTTTTTCACAAATTATTTATCTGACATGAACTGCGATAAACTGCGCAACTATTTCTCATCAAACTCTGTAAAACATTGGAAATGTTTCTGTTTAAATGCTTGCAACTCTGTTACAAACTTTGGAAATGTTTCTGCTTCAAGAGAGGAAATATAAGAGCTGTAAAATGAGCGAGAAACATTTCCTTAGAAATAAAAAGGAAAATGAAAGTTACTGATGAGGGAGTGGTTAGTATACTTTCCTTGATTATGATGACTTGATCAAGGAATTTACCTTTACTGTGAGGACAAGTTTTCTTTGCACATTTATATCATTGCAAATTCAATATGTCTACCATAAACTTAAATGTAAATAAATTGTGCAAAGAGGATAGTAAACTTATGTGCGTCTTTGGGCTTTTGATGGATATCAAAATATGACTGCTGCCTTAGAGAAAAATGGGGATTAACAGAATGGGGGCACACCAAAGCCTTAATCTGACCCTGGATATTTGCATATAAGATGTGTCTAATCTAAACACATCTCCCCTCCTTGTTTTGTATGATTTCTAGGTACACCTGGGTGACCGGAAAAGACCCTCTGACATATTATGATATGAATCTGTCTGCACAGGATCATCAGACATTCTTCTCCAGCGACACAGAGCAGCTAAGGCCTGAAGATACAGGTATTATTTTTATTTGCTACAGTGAGGAACCAGAGGAAACCCCCTTTCAAAAATAAATTGCACAGATTGCGCACAGATTGCATTTGTTACCCTCTGCGTAAAGTACAGAAGAGTAAATAAAGGAGACAAGGTGGTCCAGCAGTCAGGCTAAAGTTTTTTCTGGAGGTTCCTGATTCCTAGATCTGCCTCACTTTCTGTTACTCAACTTCCCTTTGCTCCTTACTTCATACACCACTGTAGTTGATGCATACTTTTTTACAGGTGCTTTGCCTATTTAGTAGCTTATCCATTCGATCCTATGAGCTCCACACTGCATACAATCCCCTGTTAAGGAAGATCACATCACAAACACCTTTTGTTGTAAGGTATGTACAGTATGCTCATCAAACGTATTGCAGTGTAGATTGATTTGTTGAAGTTGTTATCTTCTTCAAATTGCAATATTGACAGTCAAATGGTTTGAGGGTGAGGCAAAGTGCTAGCCCTGTCTTTATGAGAACACCTTGGAAACTTGACTTAAAATAAAAAAAAAAAATGTCTGCAAAGAAAACAAAGCCCCATACAAACCTGACAGCAAGGACAGTGAAAGTTCAGATTGTCAGATGGAATTTAGATCCTTATTTGTGGTTATAAACAACAAGTAAACACCAAATCATATCTGCCTGATGTACAATGTTGTTGTTTTTTACCCAGCTAATATTGGATGCTGCCACTCTCCTAACCTGTATGAATCAGTGTGTTTCCGAGTATATTAAATGCAACTCTGCACAGCCCTGCTGTACCTAATTTAAAGCATTGCATTCAGATCAGAATGTTAATGCTACACACACTGTGGATTATAAAACACTAAATGTGGGAAGTCCTGCTCACTTACACAAGAATTACAAACGATCACATTTAATTTCAGCACAGCTCGCTTAAGTAGCACCATATTACCAAAATTATTGTGTTTGAAAAATCTGCTGTGATATTAATCATACTGAACACCTGCAATTTAAAATTAAGGAAAACCTTAAAACCCTTGGTGTAAAGAAATTAGGATGAAGGAAAAGAAGTATGTTTAACCATAATTGCATTCTTTATAATATTTTTTAACACAGGAATGTATGACCAGAAAGTACCAAGAAATATCCACTTAACTAGAAACAGAAATGGAAAAGTCTTCTATATGATCATACCTATAAGATAGAACGAAGAGGGGATTAGAAACCTTTCGTAAATGATTGAAAACGCATAATTTTATGTTATGAATAAGTATGTTTTTCATATTAAAGCAAATACAACACTGAAAAACAGATGCCATTTTTGGCAAGGACATATATTACCATGTTCGTGCTAATTATAAATACATACTGTAGTTTTGAAGTGCTCATTCTGGGGAAGCTGGACTTCTGTGGTTTGCTAGATGTGAACTTTAGATGGTGGGTGGCCTTTTTAAGGCAGGCAAGAGTTCATGGGTGTTTGATTACCACTCCTTTAAATACTACAAGACGTGCTCCAACTCCTCACTGCAGCTCCACGCATTCCGCAACCCAGACCTGTCAAGACACATCACATCTAGAGGGGCTTGACAGTCTGTAGGGTTAATGCAAAGCCCAGTGAGGTTAATGCTAGCGACAGGCTCTAATTGGACTGCCAGGGGGCTTAATTGAGTTTTCTATATACTTCCAGGGAAGCAGACTATGGCCTTGTTGGGAAAGACTCCACCCTGGATAATTGTCTTTACCTGAATGATATGCATATAGAGGGATATTATTCTTTCACAAAGGGTTGGTATCCAGTATTTTGCAAGGTTGCAGTGCTGATTTAATCAAAACCCCAGTGCTTTTAGTTTACAGCCTATTATATGGAGCTGTGATAACTGTTTAAAGGATAAGAACAGCACCTGCTTCCTGAAAGTGCATTTGTGAAGTTTACCTGAAGAAAGAAGAGGGAAATTGTTGTTAGTTTTAGAAAAGGGAACTTTAGTTCAACGTGTGAGCTGCTTTGCATGGAAGTGTATCAGGATCTAGTGGAATGGAGCTGGGTACCACAACTCACTACACTTTCCTCTGCTGCCTTTGTACCCTATACCTGAATTTAGGCAAGGAGTTATTGGATTGGACAAACTACATAATACAGCAGATCATATCTCCCAAATGCTCCTCTACATACTGAAAAGAAATAATATGGGGTTGTATTTCAGCATTCTACTATAATGCTGCACAGAGCTGTCCAAAATAATTGACCTGAAAGTGTTTTCCATTGAAAGGTTTAGAGAGGCTCTGAGTGAATTGAGTAACATTGAAAGATGACACAGCAGAATTCTGTTAAAAGGTTGCGTTATTATGTACATCACCATGTGTCACTATAAGTGTTTCGGTGATGTGTCTGTGTATTTTCCTTACATCCATACAATGCTTAAAACCCAAGTTGTAAGTCAGTTCTACTTACTTTTAAGATGTCATGCAGCACATGTATAGTATGTGTCCTTAAAGCAGTTGTCTGTCTCATGCCACCCCCAGACTCTGAAAAGAGTTTAATAAAAGACAGACTAGCACACGTGCCTTTCCAAAAGTGCCTAAAAAATAACCCATGAATATAAGAACCTCAACACCCAATCACACGCTATTAATTCAAGCTTAAAACGTCTTTTGGAAAGGCAGAATCTGTTTTAATTATGTTATTAGGTCTGGGCTTGCACTGAAGTGGGTAGTTTGAATTGAAAAGTGAAGCATAGGAAGACCAAAGGAGTATCTCCTGCAGATGTCTGTAATTACCAGGGCCTGGGGCCAAAAGGATTAAGTTGCCAAGGGATTCAATTGTGTCAGCTCCCTGCCTGCCTCTCAGCATTATGGCTGACACCACCATCTAAGCTTCATTAATAAGAAGCCCCAGACTGCCTTACTGGAACATGCAGATGCAGCTGCTAAGCTGTATTTTGGTGCTTATTCCTTTGTAAGTCTATGTGAGTAGTGGCACATTGAATTAAAAAACAATGCTGTTCATACTCCGTGGCATTTAACAGGCTCTGTTACCATAGAACTGAGCCAGGAAAGGTGTTCCATATTTCTGATTCGGTAATAAAAATCTCCTGCCTCATTTTACTCAGCAGCCAAAACACCCAGCACAAAATGGATCAGGATCCAGCAAGTGCCCTGTGCATATATTGTCACAAGCACAGATATGCAGTGGGAAAACTGGATAATTTTAATTTAAAAATCTACAGTATAAAGACGTTTTTGGTGTTACCCTCCCCCATCCACAACCCCCCCCCAAACAACTAAAGTAATTGTCTTGAATTGGCTTGAATTCAGACTTATAAATAACATTTAGTGATATAAAAACAGTTTGAAAGATGGGCTAGTGGGAATAAATCCCCAAATTTACAGATAAATAAGTATACTGAATGTTATTCAAAGAAGCCTTGAGAATATACAAAAAGAAAGAATTGAGAATACAGTATTTGAAATGAAACTCCAAAAGTTGACATTGCGACAGAACAATACTTAAGTGGCAAAATTCTTTTACACATCTTCCTACACATTGTTTCTTCCAAACTACTTTATACTTTTTATGTTGAAAAACTGAGTGAAGAACATTTTAGAGATTAACTGATGTCGCACTCCTGCCTAATGTGACTTTTATAAAACAGGGGATTATTGTAATAATGCAGAAGATATGAGAGAAACTGAAAACAAGTTCACATCCGAAACAATGTGGCAAAAAAAAAGAATGACATTTTAGCACGCAGGCTTTTCAGCTTAAGTCTCTTGTTATTGCTCTGCAGTAAGTTAGCTTGTAGAAAAGATCCAGGGCTTTTATTTATGTGTTTTCACGGGGGTTTCTGAAATGTTAATGCTCTCAAAGTGATGCAGAAAGCCTGGAGGGAGAGGAATCCTCAGGCCCGGATCAGAGCTGCGTACCAGGCCATCGAATTGAACCACGAGTGAGTACGCTCTCTCTCTCTCCACTCTCCTTCTTTAAATAGGTAATGAGCCTAAAGGCAGGTGAGAAATGAGAAATAAAACAGATGCAAGGGAACACCAGAGACACAGAAAAAGGTACAACATTCCCAGTCATAGCCAGCACTCCTAGTTTGACCCAGGGTTTCGATAAATTGGAAGTGCTGTGCAAACCTGGAGTGCAGAATGTGCAGAATCTACTGCATGGGAATTCCTACATGGATTATGTGTCTTGTGTGGGTCTTATGCACGTACACACTCTGGGAAAGAGTCTGTATACAAGTCCTTGGGTTCCAAATGGCATATTACTTTTGATTTTGGCTAGACGACTTTGGAGAAAAGTGATGAATTTAATGAACATCTTAGAGATTAATTGGATTTAGACTCCTACCCAATTTGACTTCCATAAAACACTGGATTATTATAATAATACAGGAGATATAAGAGAAATGGAAAACATACAAGTCAATGAAACCAGGTTACGTTTCCCTAGGGCTTTCCCAGAACCAAGTTTGCACCTCCATGTGTTCTGAATGAAGAAATAGTATGGTGACCAATTATTTGTTTGGCAAATCCTTAATCAAGGGTTGTGTGTTGCTTGGGTTTCTGTTTGACACTGAAGTTATAGATCCAGTCAGCATCTTGTATGTCCTCTCTCATCTGCCATATTCGCCTGGCCTGCAGGTGTGCCACAGCCTATGTACTACTGGCCGAGGAGGAAGCAACCACTATCACAGAGGCAGAGAGGCTATTCAAGCAGGCCCTGAAGAGTGGTAAGAGCTGGGATCACCGGGCTGCCCTTTCAGCACTAAGGACAGCAGCACTAGGCCCCATTGCTGGCCTGTTCTGCACTGTTTCACCTGGCGGCAGGCTTGTTTTCAGAGGAATGGCAGAAGTGAAAGCAGTCCATTCATTTTAAAATGCAGGACCTTGAAGCTGCCCTCTGTCCTTAACGATGTACAGGTAGATTAAAGAAATACCACAGTTCTGGAACATTCTCACTATGGAGTTACAGTATGCTTTCTCTATAATTACTAGCAAATTGAAAAGAAGCTTCTAGAAGAAAGTGACATTTGGATTGATGCGTGGTAATAATATACTGAGACTTTGAGCTTTTAATAAACTATGCATGAATCCAGATCATGCATAAATCTATAAATGGTGCATACATTATTTTTAGAACACAGGATGATATGCATACCACAGGTAACTGGTTCTGTGTAAGATGTTGAATTTCTTTCTCTTCAGCTGGCAAGGACACCAATGTTTTGGTTTACATCAAGCGCAGGTTGGCGATGTGCGCTCGCAAACTGGGAAGAATTAAGGAAGCCGTAAAAATGATGAGAGATGTGAGTCAGTTCTTGTAAACTGCTTTGGGATGGTCTCCAGCAAGTCTAGAATTTGAGTAAACTCAAAACTGACTTTTTGTACATCTGATTGGTCTGAACAATTTAAAACACTTTCTTTTCTTTCTTCCAGTTAATGAAGGAATTTCCCCTCCTCGGAATGTTAAACATCCATGAAAATTTACTGGAAGCACTCCTAGAAATGCAAGCCTATGCTGATGTGCAAGCTGTTCTTGCAAAGTATGATGGTAAGGAGGAAACAGTCATTCCATTACTGTAAAAAATGAATCATGGAAGCAGTATGGGTCTTAAAGGACTTAGTCTTTATTTTATTTGAAAATTGAGTCTCCATCATTCTTAAGATAACTGAAAGGAAGATAAACATTACATTATCTGCCTCCTCATCTTCCAATAAAAGCACTTTTGCATGATTAACCTACTTAAATCAATTACGAGGCATAAAGGAGTAGATTTAGGAAACATGAGAACTCTTTGTAAGACAATTGCTGCACTACACAAATAAATTAGAAATGTATCTTTAATCCAGCTAACCTCTCAGTTATTAGATTAATTGGGAAATAGACTTCCATGTTATCTTTAGCCAGTGAGGAAGTTAAGTTCTACACACCAGGGTTGCAGATCACAATGAGAGATTGAGTCCAACAAAGATTCAATATTAGCCAGGGAAGTAATGTGCAGGAGGTCTTTCTAAACTGTGAATTTGAATATCTGTAGTACCTTGTTTTACTTGATTGCTTAAAACTTTTTTTCCCTTATTTCAGATATCAGCTTGCCAAAGTCTGCAACCATATGCTACACTTCTGCACTCCTCAAAGCACGAGCAGTTTCAGATAAGTGAGTATGGATGTCCTCACAGCCAATCAGACAGACACAGAGAACCTGGACATTTTGTTGATAAGCTAAATAATCAACAAGTAAACGAGTACCATCCACATAAATGAGCAGACATGGGAACATTTGTCTCATAGAGCTTCAGACTGCAGGACTTTCCCACTTGTGGTCCCCACTCATTTCCATTACATATATTATCTATAAAAGTAAATACAAAAATAAAAAGTGAATATCATTACTTACTTTTCGGTTTCTGTCTTTGTTTTCAGATCTTTTATACCATGTTTTTGCTGCACATTTTTGAAGTCCAGTTTCTAATTATTTAAACAGTGCTGTCTCCATCTGCTGTGTGTTCTTTCACCACCATCACTTCAAAAAAGAAGTAACAAATAACAAGAAAAAAAATATGTAATTGTGTGCTTGATTTTTTTGTGTGTGGGAAGACTCTGAAAAACCTTGTTCAACCGAATTGCTGTTAAAACGTTTAATGTTTGTTGAAGATATCCATTAATTTGAGGATATGATATTAGTATGCATGTCTATTCATCATTAGTATAGCAATGCAGAAAACACAATTTTATTGAACGTCCTGCATAATAGGCTGTGGGCTTATGGTGTAAATAAACTGAACATATGACAAAAACTGATCTAGGGCATGGTTTGCAAACTTATAGTGTTCCTTGTTTTGTTGAGATAGGAGAATTTATTGTTGGGGTATTTCACATACAGTGTTGTCATTTAAAATGTCAGAGAGGGATCCAGAACATTTGTCCCATGTCTTTGTGTTATAAACACTGATGCTTGTTTGATTCTGAGGGAAAAAAATAAACATCAGCTGCCACAATCATAAGTCCAAAAAAGAGATTGGTTACCATTGCACAGAAGTGTGATCAACTTTACTACTGAAAATGAGTACATTATTTTAGTCCAACACACTTATATCTGTACAGGAATGTAGTACAAATTGACAAATTGTAGCATGCTGTATATTTTGTATATGTTTGCAAACATAGTGTCAATACATTGAAAACCTGAAAATATGTCAAAACGTGTTAGCAGAAGGAATAAGAATTATGCCCTTCTCTAATTCTTGCCTAAACTACACTTGCCTCTCCCAGATTTTCCCCAGAAGCAGCCTCCAGGAGGGGCCTTAGTACTGCAGAAATGAACGCAGTGGAAGCCATACACAGAGCTGTGGAGTTTAACCCACACGTGCCAAAGGTGAGTGTCTGTGCTTTGTTGGAGACCTCTGTGGCAACAACAGTGCACGGCATTGCACCTTCTGGATTTCCCATCATGAAACCTAAAGTCTGCCTTTCACCCCAGGAAAACACTTTATTACAGCAGCAGCTGCTTTGTTCTTGTCTGTACACATCTGCTCCGTTCAAGCTCTTTTCTTCTCTATTTTCAAGGTTGAACAGAGTGTTGAAACAAAGACCTGCTAGTAGAGGGGAATTGCCCTGTCGTTCTCCAAACCTTTGTACCAGTGGTATCAAATAGCAATTTGGTGCATCAGGCCAGCATGTTCTCGGTGTTCTGTGTTATTCTTTACTACTTGTGTCATCAAGTCTAATTTTGACGTGATGTTTCTAATTCTCAAAGGTCATTAATAAAAGCTTTTCACAGAACAGTCAGTCCCCCATGACACTTTTCCTCTGTGATGACTCACTTCTTACATTTTAGACCGTCAGTAGGTGTCACTGTTTTATAAGAAAAAATAAAATAGCATTACAAATTCTGCTCACATAAAAAGGTGGACATACATGTGGTAGTAGGTTTTTTTTTTTAATGCATCCCATTGTTTTTATGCAAAATAAATCCCCTGTTCCCAAAAGGCATGGAATGCTTTTCTGGTACTTTAAACATTTCACAAAAGTATCCATGACATGGATACATAACATTGTAGCTAATGAACATTTGATTAGCATTTTCCTGAGTTTTCCTGTTGAGTTTTGTCTTCTCTGCATATTTCTGTTGTGGTATAAATTTGACTGTGGTTTGCAGTGCCAATGGAATTCATCTAGTTGAAACAGCTCACAAAACATGGAAAAGTGAAAATATAGGGCTTTCATATTACTGTTTATTAAAAAAACAAACCATTTCATGTTAAAACAATCTAAAAGCAGAAAAATGGCATAGCTCTGTATTTCCAATATTCTTTAGGAAAAAGTACCACTGGTACACCAGCTCCCATCTTTTAGTGGCTTTGTGCAGAACATTGTGCAACATGAATTCATTCTGTCCCATATAGTCTGTGAGCGTTTTTTTTTTTATTTTGTTTAGTGAAAGAACTGGTTGTGGTATCAATGACGGTATTCGGTTTGGAGTCCACTTTATCTTAACCTGTTCGGTACTTGAGGTGTACAAACAAAATCTGTGCTCCAAATAACTTCTCTCCGTAGCTCAGATACTGTAGCTTGGTAATGAACTGTGAAGCCCCCCCAAAAAAAGAGTACAATCTTTTCCCATTCAGTTTTATGTCCTGGAACTAATTTGCCTGGAGAGTCAGAGGATCCACTGAGGTATTTAATTCTGACTAACAGCACCACCTTGCTGTGCTGGCAGCATTTCCCTGTTCCAGGGCTCATACTTTCTAGCTGTGTAACATCCCTGTGGACTGCAGGCACGCATCTCGAGGCTGCCATTATCCTAATTAATTTGCTGGATGGAGGAGGCTTTAGTGTTGGCCCCACCAGACTGCAGGAAACCCTGGTCCTTTTAATCCTCCCCCTCCAAATAAAAACAAATAAAACCTGCATCCCAGTTCTAGTACAATTAAAACAGGAATGAGACGCTTTAGGATTTCTAAATACAGTCTTCGATTTTTTCCCTAACAGCTGTGGAATAGTTAATGAGCACTTTGGCAGGGCCTGTAAGGTTTCGAAAGAGGATGGAGAGCATCCTTTTTGTGAACTGAGTGGCGCTTGAGTCCTGACTAAAGCTAGGAGACAAACGTTTTTCAAAATGAGTGGCATTTCCACAGAGAAAAAAACAATGCCAGCAACTTCGTAGAATACAGTTTGTAAATAAAACTCCTTGAGGATCTCTTAAACTTGTTTTAAAATCAAAAGGCATGACAGGCTCATCAGATTCCTCTTATTCACAACTTTTGCGAAGTTTTCACGTTGATGCCACGGGACTCTGGGACTATATACAGATGGTGTGTCATACTGTTTCTCAGTGTGACTCTTCTGTCTTGTTTGGCCTTGATCTAACACTCCGCCACTGTGAGCCCATTTTGTCCCATATACCCCCATGGCCGTTTCTGCTGTCAGACGTTCTTGTTAGATCTGTCTGAGTAAGTCTGCAGTTAGAAGAAGATCAGAAACAGGCCACATTAATCCTTGGACAATATTAATCGTGAGGAAAACTGTCTTGGCAGTAACCAGAGCCACATTCAGATCATGTAAGATGGAAAACAGATGTTTCAATTCCAATTTTATACAGTATATGACTGCACTTGTAAAGTCTTTGAAATAGAAAATCAGCCTTTTCAGTTTTGAAGAGGAGCCATTTTTGCTTCAGATGCTGAGCATGAAAGAATCTGTCACGAAACGTACAGGCCTGCATGTTTTCATCTGGCTGCTTATTAACAAGAGCTTCATCTGATGTTTTTAAACAGCCCCTTAGATATTGCTCTCTGGAGTACAAACATCCCAGGTCTGTAATACAGGGGATGTTCACGTAAAATAAAAGACACTCAAGGGCAGTATCACCATCTCCCTGTGTTAACTGGCAAGGAACCTTATGATCCCTCACTTTTAACAAAAATGTGGCACAAAAGAAGATTGCATGCACCTAAAAAGAAACTGTCAGGAACTGTTCCACACCAACATCTTCTCTTTTTACAAGTGGTACCATGGCCCAGCTGTAGTGTTCTCTTTTTACAAGTGGTACCATGGCCGAGCTGTAGTGCACTGGTGCAGAAACAGCTTCTTTTTCAATGTATGATTCTTGGCTTTCTTGTGAATGCTCTGAAAACCACACATGGTCCATTTCACTTGAATTGTTTTGTACCCTCTTACTTGGTAACTCAGGATTACCTCAGCAAAATCATCAGTTAAAGATATCCTTAGTATCACAGTATTATTACAGCACAAATGACTTCTAAAAAGAGAACCCAGGTGACAAAGGGGGCTAAAACAGACTTTCTGAAAAAAAAAAATACTTTTTTCATAAAGGATTACAGAGTAACCTAACAAAAAGTAATCATAAATACAAAAACAAAGGACTGATACTGCAAAGGGCAGAAAATATGGAAAAGGTGTGGCTTGGTTTCCTAACTTAAGAATTTGTTGTGTTTTTTTTTAGTGTGTTCTTCTATTTTATTAATTGTTGACATAATTAAAGAAAGTAAATCTAACAAGTGTTAATGATAAACAAGAAAATAAATGGTATACAGCCTGGAAAGAAATTAACAGTCAGCAGTTAAAATGTTGTTACCTTTAATGATAGCGATGATGGAGAGACTTAAGGCTATTTCCTGGGCAATAGACAAATCAACAAGGCACATTACCAGTTGACTTCCTTTTTTGTGCTACTGTCACTAAATTTATCACAACAAAACAAAAACTTGTGGTTATAATGTTTTTTGAGACTTTAAAGACTGCTGCTTGCTCTTGTCTTAGGTGGTCTTATGGAGGAGAAAAGACATCTGTACTATACTTCACCCAACTTTCCAGTAGTCACAGCAAGCCGTGAACAGAACAAAAGTTTGACAGTGAATAAGCAGATCAGTGTATCCCAATGCTGTGAACCACAGAATTTTGCTTTACTACTTAAGGTTATGAATTAGCGCATCAATAAAAGCAAACTATGGAAATCCTTAAACATTGTAAAGAAAACATTAATCCTATTGCACATTAAATCAATGATTAGGTAATGTTCTTGCTTAATTTGCTCATTTATGGAGATTGTTTTGTATTTGCCACTTAAAACAAACAAAAAAACTGTCACTGCAATTCTATACCTTCGGTACATATACAGTATATAAATCCCAGTTAATAAGGATTTTGACTTTAATTGTGCTCTTAAATTCCTTGTCAAAAAGAGCAAATATTAAACTGATACACTGACTGGATTTTAGAATGGAAAGGAATTAAAATGTTATGTTTCCCAGGTTTCTTTTTCGTCTTGGAGGCTTTGTTTAAAGGGGTATTAAACCTCTTGAAAGGCCTCGGAAATCACTCATGGATTTGCAGTGAATGAGACCCTTTATCTCTGCATCCACAGTATGGAGGAGCAGTCAGGGTTCTGGACTTAAAATTGGAAAGTTTGGGGTTCAAATCCTGGGTAAGTACCCTTGAGCAAGGTACTTTACCCGATCTTTTTCAGTAAAATACCCATCCGTACTCATCCATCTGCTTACATTTTTACATTACTATTATTAATTTGTGTCTAACACAAAATTACAACAGACACAATAACAACGTTTGCTCTATGCTTCAGTCAAGACAGTAAATATCTTGCCAAACTTTTACCTGATTAAGTAATTGCAGCCCTTCCTTGGGGTTGTTGTCCCATGGTGCACTTCTGGCTGATCAGTCCGCAGAACCTTAATGCTCAGTGACAACTTTAATCTCCCCAAGCGAAACATTTCTCCTCCGTGTGTTTTGGGGAGGGGGGGGTTGTATGTTAATTTCCACTTAATTCAGCTGTATCTGAGCAATTCGATAAAACAATGTAATTCCCCAATCGGAGTCATGAAGTCGGGGAATTTTGTTTCCACTACATGTTCCACTGGCAAAACGGACTCATTCTCCACGCCCTGCAAGTAAAGGGGACTGGAAACTATTAGTGTGGCTTTAATGCAGAAGGGTGCAGCCTGTCTCTCATGGCTACAAATGGGCTGGTCAGTTTTTCATTAATATTGATTGCTCATGGACCAGTCCCTGGTGTTTAATCGGCGGCCTGTTATTTTATAGCTTCTCAAAGGTCAAACAGCAAAAGGGCCAGTAAGAACCTGATACTAATTTAAAGATTATGCACATTTGGTACCTGAAAACAGCTAGACCTCATTTGTTTTTCCTCTGTAATCTGCATGAAACAGGTAACATCACCCTACATTATAAACAGCTGCTTGCACAGAACACCCAGGGTGCAGTAAAGATGAATTGCACAATACTTTATTCATCCCAGGGTCATTCACGATCACACTGCAAGGCTAGATAAATGTTTTCCTTTGTAATTCAACAATGATAAACTATACCCCCCCCCCCCAAATGAACAAGATGTATAATGTCTCTAAAATTGTGCTTTAAACAGCTGCATTTTACAGCTACATTCATATACAGATGCTAACTGCTATGTTATTGCTCTTTCTCTTACCCAGTGTCAAAATGAGTTGTCCTCTCTTTTCAGCCCATCATAAGCAATGACAGTAATCTGCCTCCTGCTGTACTCTTGCTAGCTTTAAACTAAAGCAATAGCATAGCAGTCTGGAACCTCATGTAAACCAGCTCAGCTCTGCCTTCGCCCCCGTTAAGGTTTTAGTACTGCCGGGCGATTTATTTGACAGGAAAAGCCATTTTCAGTTGTTTCCAATATTCTTTGCCAGTTATGAAATGAAATGTGCATGTCCACTCAAAAAACTAGATCAGATGTTCAAAGCCTGGTTTCCTCTTAAAAACAGAAAACGTGTCACTTAAGCATTTTCATCTTAGTACATCTACAATAAAGAAGCCCAATCAAAATCCCTGTTTTTCTCATGTCCATTTACTATAAGTGCATTGCTGTGTGTGTAACCTATAACTGGGTCCAGTTCCAGTATATATGTTTTTCCATTGCTATGTTGTAGTGGGACCCGCTTTTCTCTTTTGCCCTTGAAGTGGTTTGCGGTCGCTTTTCTAATTTTTCCATCGCTGTGGCCACAGCTTTAAAAAACAAACTTTTTATTTAAAAAAAAAAACAACCTTCCATTCGTGGCCACTGCAGCCACTGACTCGTAGATCCTCCCAAAGTCAGTGAGACCTCCTGCAGTTGCGAAGTGACCCTCTGGGACCCATGTTCATGGTGTGTAAAGGAGTCAGCTCTCTAGATTAACACTCTGGGAAATCGGAAGAGGTGCTCCTGCTGCTCCTACCTGCTTCTTCGCCCCATGGGTAGGCAGACAATGGCCAATCCCGATTAACCTATCTGTTCGCTGCACAGAGCACAGAGAGTCTACCCTTACCTGCACCCTTCCTCCCCTGAACTGCTTGTCTACTCCAAGAAAGCTGAGGAAGAGGGTAGATCAGTGCTGGAACGAATGCAGACTCATTTCCACTGATCAAGTGCCAGAGACCTTGCTCGTTTTGGTAAAGGCTGGGAGAAAAAGATTGTCATTTGATGTCTTTTTTCAAAATGTAGAACTCATGCAGCAGTTTATTTCTGTATGATTGAATTTGATTCCCACCTTTTAAACCTATTTGTGTTTCTTTTTTCTACCTCCTCCTTCCCCAGCAAGTAACCATGTGCTGCTATAATGCTAGTCCTTCAAATAAAAAAATCAGCTGGATTGCTGCCCATGTCTTGCTGTGATCTTTCCACAGCCCATTCTCCACAGGCTAATGTAGATACCTATTCAACTCACTTTTTTTCAGGCCTACAAGACCAGAGAGTAAAGATTACTCATTTTTACTGATGATCTTTTTTTTTCCCTTTTGAGAGTATACCATTTTGTTTAGAGGATTTTCACAAGATTGCAGACCTGTGATTTCTTGGTTCTTCCCTTGTTGCAGAATGATGTAGCTTGTCAAGAGACCATTCTTTAAAATGTGCACCCCCTCTGGAAAATAGCAAGTGGAATTATGTGATTTTACCACAGGCCTCAGTAGTGACCTAATCCATGTCCTACAAGCACGAGGCCAAGCTAAAAATGTGTTTGTGTCTTTTTTTATTTGGTGGTGTTGAGTTGCAATTGTAGCTATCAAAGGATCCTGAGCTTCCATTCCTACCACAGATAATTCTCATATGTTAAATTAGCAAGGATTCCCACTACAGAAGATTTTTAAACTCACCTGAAGCTAAACCTTATACATTGTGCACTTTTTGTAGCCGCATGATATCTTTGAATTTTATAACATAAAAGGGGAATTCAAAGAAACGTCATAGAGCAGCCAGCTAGACAGGTGGGGGAGAGGATAAATGAGGCATGGTCTGCTGTCATTGTCTGTACTTTTTGGTGGTCTTGCTGGATTGTGACCAGTATTTCTACTCCAGTATCCCACAGATCCCCCTCGGAAGATTTAGACAACCAAATTTGGGGGTGTGGAACAGGAGTGTACCTTGATGACCTAAATTTGCTTTGCTCAACCTGATGAGGGGTGAGGTTACCGTGTTGAGCATTAACTAGAGTTCAGGTCATCTCAGTGAGAACATACTCCAAGACTATTCTCTAGAATGTAAATAGCCTTGCCATTTAAACCTCAGCACTAGGGATTGTTTTATTGGCTGCAGTTATTTTGTTTGTACAGTATTTATAAAACTAAAAATACAGGATCAAATTTGTCTTGTAATACTACAGTCAAATCAAAATCTCTATATTTGACAAACCTTTTTCACGTGCAGCAGATGATACATGCACATTACCATGACTTTTATTCCATTACAGTATTTATTAGAAATGAAAAGCCTGATCCTGCCACCTGAGCATATTCTGAAGCGAGGAGACAGCGAGGCAGTGGCCTACGCCTTCTTTCACCTACAACACTGGAAGAGGGTAGAAGGAGCTCTAAACCTGCTCCACTGTACCTGGGAGGGCAGTAAGTATGCAATCACAGCATATTCTGTGCTATACCCACCCATTTCAGAATGGCCTGATGTTTGTGTCTGAACTTTATGGCTATAACCTCTATAGTTATTAAACACCCATCTACCAGTGCTTAGGAGTGGCACATTATTCACTGCCTTGAGATGGCTGGCAGCTCTGCCACATCATCTGCAGTTTGGAACGATAGCAACGCATCTCTATACTATGCCTATGTAAGAAAGTATTGCTAATTAATTTTTGTAATTTACATTTTTGTTTGATTCTAATTCCAAAAAAACTTTCATACTCAATTCGCTGTTTAATATTATTTTTAAGCTTTTGATCCTTGTGTGGACTTGTCTTGCCAGCGTTTCGGATGATTCCTTACCCCCTGGAGAAAGGGCACCTCTTTTACCCCTACCCTGGCTGCACAGAGACAGCAGATCGAGAGCTGCTGCCTTGTAAGTTAAAGGCCTAGAAACCAGACACAACGTCATGAGATACAGGGACACAACCTACGGCCCACATCTGAAGAAAACACAGGGGCCAGGATCTCCAAGAAAAAATACATTTAGGTTACAAAGGCTAATATGCTATTTTATAAGTATGATGTAGCTTGGGAAAATGTCTTTAAAAGACATTAACAACAAATTCCTCAACAATCTGTAGACATTAGCTAACATGGTGTGATGTACTGTACAGTGAGGCTGTCAAACACAAACACTGCCAGTTCTGGATTCTTTTGCAACACTTGCCAGTTATTGCAAGGTCAAAAAAAAATCTATGGAATGACTGGTTCAATGAAAGGCTTCAGATTTTAACTGATATGTGTAGGCAAATGTTAATAGTCCTACTGTGTGCTTAAGATGAGCAATGTTCTTCTATTACAATTTGTTAATGGGATGAGCTCAGATTGGTAAACATGTTTTCACTCCTCCTTATAGTTGTGTGGAAGGACAATCTTTTTGAATCTTCCAGGCCTAGCTGATTTTGAAACACTCTACACATATGAAAGAATATACATAAAATATATATTCTATAAATTATACTTTTTATACTGAAATACATTTTAAATGTCTCTTACAAGGAACAACTTTCATGGTGCAATCAGTACAATACTGTATTCCAACAGTTTTAGAAAGCTGCAAGGTTACATGCATTTAAGACACCAAATTCAAGGCTTTATAAAAGACCAAACAGGTTAACAGGTAACCTACAGAGATTCCAGTGGCTCAGTGCAGCTCTTCTCCCCTGTCAAGGGTACCAGCTCTCTGTTCTTTCAAGCCTTAATCTCCAAACCCTTACTTCCACCGTATCCTAATAAAATCTGTAACATACCTTCACTTTTTAATAGACAGCCGTGGCACTACAGTACATTACAGCATCACTCACTTACAAACATAATATTAACTATGCCATGATCTTAATTGTGCTTTACTGGTAATGCTGAAGGTTCTAAACCTTCATCTGGGTTACATCAGATAGGCTCCACTTTAACAGCTGTTATTACAAAAGTGTTTTTCAAGGTTTAATTTCCATATGACTGAGCCCTAGCTGAATGTCTTCATAGGCCTTTCTTCACATCGGTGAAGAAAATTCTAAAATTGTCTGTTATATCTAAAGAAAGTTATTTATACTCTAGTAGCTTGTATTGTTGTTTCTGCAATCTGGGTATGTATTGGCTATATTTTGTCTAAGTGATGAAAAAATATATTAATTAATTAATTATGAATAAGTATGAATTATTTGGATATCTTCTGAATTGAAAAAGTGTTTTTGTAGCATGAAGTGGTATACTGTATGGGACATAGAATAAAGAGTAAAAAAATCTTAAACTATTTACATGACAAAATCCAAATTCTAAATTACATCAAGGGTCACTTAAAAGCACCTCTCTTTCTTCCTTTGTGGCAGCTTTTCACGAGGTGTCAGTGTACCCCAAGAAGGAGCTGCCCTTCTTCATCCTCTTCACAGCGGGGCTCTGCTCCTTCACAGCCATGCTGGCCATGCTGACTCACCAGTTCCCCGAGCTCATGGGCGTCTTTGCCAAGGCCGTAAGTCTGCGCCTCCCACCCAATGCACTTCATCTGCCTTGAAGGGAGACAGAAACTCAGTTCCTGGGCAGCAGCAGTGGCCTGCAGCATTCCTTCTGGCCACAGTATCCATTGCTTATGTGCTCTAATTTCTTGATTAGCTATATAACTGGTCTCCTAAATATTTGAAATAGTGGTCCTGGTTTCCAGTGCCGGAACCCTACAATGTTTATTCCAGAGCTTTCCAGTTTAAAGAAACTCAGTGGTAACCATTAAAAGTCAGCTGAAATTCTGGAAGTCGGTACCAGCCCAGTGCAAAACTGAGGACACACAGTATAGCAAGTACCCACCGTACAAGTAGCAAGCTAATGTAATGAGTCTCGCAGTGCCAGAAGCAGAGTTTGCATCAACTAATAGGGCTTATAGCACAACTCAATGTCGAAAGTACCTGGCCACCTACAGGTATTGATGTGCTATAGCAAGCCAGGATGCACTGACTGACCTGACCTAATAATCTAAAAGGTGACTAGAACTCAAGAATCCATGTTCCATCTCCATTTTCATGACCCCAGTATGGATTCAGTCAACAAGAGAGCTTGCATTACTCCTGATTTATACACTTGTTTGTAGCCTACAGTGCACTGACACTGGCAATTCTGCAAAAACTGCTGCCATGTGTAATAGTCGGTCATTGTAGTTTTAAAATTGTCAATGGGAATGAAAAAATGAAATTTCAACAAAGTGAAAAAATTAACTAGGCTACCTGATTGCTCCTCCTGGGTGGTCCACCCTACCCAAAAAGAAAACAATTGTAGGTTTTATAAGCGTCCCGGGGTTTCTAAACGTTAATATTTCTTTCAAGAAACAAATGCTTTGACAGCTTAGGGGGATAAATTAAAAACTGTAAGAAAAACCGAAAGCACACCAACTGCAGTGAGTCAGGGGAACCTAATTAAACACCCAGACAATGTTCACCAGTCTTTCAGAGGAACTCTGTGAGCAGCTGTCTCTTTAACAAGCCGTTCAGTACCCGAAGTCAAGTTGTACAGTTTCACCCCCCCCACCCCCCCAAAGAAAAAATCTGTTTACTATCACTCAGGGCTTTCTGTTCTGAAACTGCCTTCCATCACTGTCAACAAGCGGAGGCACAGGGGATTTCTCAGAGTTTCAGAATGCTTTATCTTATGGTACCGCTCCTGCAGGGTTGCTGTTTGTGTTATTATAGTTATTTTGTCTTTCTGCTGTTGAGCAATCCCTCAAGTGCACCAGAGTTACATGTGGAGTGGTCAAAGATTTCAATCCATTGAAGTGGGGGAGAGGCTCCTTCTGACTAAAAGTCTAGGCACAACAATTTGATTATTAGAAACAATGAGCTGATGATCTTCCTGGAAATACTGTCCTGCCTGTTTGATTCTGGGGAGCTGCTGCCTGTGGTCGGGAGGGGAAAGGTTTAGTTTCTTTGCTCACACACGCAACTTGCACTGGCAAATTATTATGAGAATCATAGGCTTTAGCAACATAGGCTAAATACTGTATGAGTGCCTAATGTTGAATTGCAGCGACAGTTATTAAATGTTCAGTATCAGTAATTTAAATTCTGTTAAAAGACAGGTATTATTTGGAAGGGTTTAAGCATGATTTTATTTTCTGCAGCAACTCAAGCCACGTATAACCATAAAACCCATTTATGAGGTAGATTTTTCACGTTTTCCCTCTTCAGAAATGGAAAACACAACATTGTGTAAGATTCCTAGAATGGCAATACCCCAATATGTTGATTTTCAGTTTCAGGCTCTTTGGTAATATTATACAGTATATAAAAATCCATAATCCACATATCTGTATTTTGCATCATCTTAACTATTTCTACAAAACGTAATTAAGAAAAGATTTTTCAAATGCTGTACAATTTTCCAAGTTCCAGGGAAACTACTAGAGAAGCACTGTACACTGAAGACTTTGCAATAGTAAGAAAAAAATCCTTACAGTTATATAGCATTTGCAGTCCCAAAGTGCTTTATATTAAGGTGGGGATCCACATCATGCATCACTGACGCACTGCAGTCCCAATACACAGCAGATCAGATAGAGGAGAAAGAAATTACTTCACTAGTCAAATTAAAGGGAAACCTAATGAGTGGAGTTAGTCAGGACACCGGGATTAATACCCCACAGTACCATGGGATCGACAAAACTCAAGTTGTTAGAGCCTTGGTTTAATATTTAATTCAAGGGATGACACCTCTTATGCTGCAGTGTTGCCAGTCACAGTAATGGGGCATCGGGCTGGAAATTCTGGTCCAGAGAGAAGAACACCACCTACTGGTTCACTACCACGGCTGGAGTGTGGTTTCTTGGATGCTTTCCATGCCAGTACTGACCAGACCCAGACCCCTATTTCTAGCTTCCAAGATCTGCTGAGAAGCTATTAGGTGGTAATGCTTCCATCACATGTAAATGTCCCCTTTTGTGTGTTCTGCATTTGGAATTGTGGAATATATTCAGGCTTCTGGAGATTTCAGATATGGATTAAAGTTCATAATTTGCCACCAAACCCCATAGCATAGAAAACCCTATAATTTGATATGATGCAAATAATGACATGGGACAAAAATGAATGACAAAGAATCACAATAAAACTAAGATGGAATGGAGTAGAAATGAGAGGGAGGATGAAATCTGTGCATTAAGGTAGCATTAAGTAGGCTAGGTATTTCATAGAAAAGGAAAGTCATGAAGAAACCAGCCTGAGCAGACTTTATTTAAAAAAATGTTTAAGCATCTAAACCCAGAAGCTGACCCTATAAAATTGGTGATTTAACAACAGTTCCCAGTTTGGCACACTAGTGAAGGTTCGTGTTCCTGCTTATAGAAACTCCCTTTTCGTGCAAGATCTGTGAAAAAGGCAAAACGAACAGAAACAAAAACGAGCAGCCTGCAATCTAATCTCTCCCTAGCCTGTTTGTGTCAAACACATTCCTGAATTGATTTGGCTTTTCATGTTTTTCTTCTTGGTACACCATCCCCTGACTGTTAGGTTTCAAAACCTTACACACCCTCTGGGCAGTTAATGGGGAAGGCAAAATTATTTTTTTACTCCAAAACTGACTTATATATGACTGACTTATATTGTTACAAGAGTTTACAACCTTCCTGTTGAGTATCATTTGCTGCTTAAGAATTCTTAATTTAGGAATTTCACTCCTGTTCTTGCAAAGAACTGGACATTCACATGCATGTTTTTATATTGTCATTTTTTCTAAATGTGTTGGATTTCTCATTTTCATTGGCAGTCTTTCTTCTGAATCAATCAGTGTGTTACAAAATGAATCTGGTCTCTTCCAAAGCACATGCAAGCCCTGTTCAGAGCTGCATGCAGGAATGATCTGCATTGAAATGCAGAGAAAACTGTTAAAGCTCTGTCCGCATGCAGATTCTCACAGCTTGGCTCTGGTTCCCCTTTAGCAAAGGTATGCCTTTAACTCCTAGCAGCACGGCAAGGAGATAACAGCTGATGAAGTGAGCCTTGCCCTTGTGGACCCAGCCCTTCTGAAGTGAAGGACCGCTGTTCCCCCTTCTCTGAAGTCCACTCTCCTCTTATCTGCCCTGTCCAGTGCTGGCCATCCTGCAATGCACCCCTAGTGTTGTAGCCTGTATCGCTCCTGGTCTTTCCATTAATGCTTATCTTTAGAGCACTTATCTGCTGACATGCAGGGCAGAATTGCTGCCTCCCCCCCTACCAGCTTCTCGTCTCTTTTGATAGTTAAGCAACGCAGCGACACATAATTTTTTTTCAAAGAGGAGATTTCTGAATTCCTTATGAAACTGTAGCACAGTAAAATGTGGCATGTTTTATTCCCTTTTCCTTCATCTATTCTTTACTTTTGCTTGCTTTACCTGTTTTCAGCAATTAGTTAGTCTTACTGGTCTTTCCCATTCTTTTATTATGCTTCAATCTGCTTTTACTGTGTCAAACAAAAATAACAGGAGGGATCCAATGTGGAAAATGAATGGCGAAACAATGAAGCCGTGAAGCCCTCCTCTTTCTTTCCAGTTCTTTATAGGCCCGGGGGAAGACTAGTGCAAGCTGCTGTCAGTCAGCAAACAACAGAGACATCACTTAATCAAAGCAATAAAATGTGAAATTACCCATTAAAACAGGAACGTTTTATTTTTATCCAAATCTGACCTTTGTAGGAATTTAAACAATTTAATTTCAACAGTTTAACATAGCTTGTTTTACCTTAATTCATTCATCCTTTTTTATTAACATAGAATAATGTTCTTTTTTGGCCCTAGAATCCCATAATCACTCTGTACATAAACACAACTTTAATTTCAAGATGTTCTGAGACCTTTTAAAGGGTAACTGATTCTAAGAAGATTTAAAAGGCAGGAGGGCCTGATTTTCAAGCACATTCCTCTTGTTCTTCTTGTATCATACCATACCAGGGGTGACCTTGTGTTTACAATGTGATTGTTTATTTTTCTTTTTTATGAGCTACTCAACAAATGGAGAAGGAGGAACTAAATTCCACAGTGTAAGCAACACCTAAAACAAAAAATTCCAAGAGATGTTTAAGGTGCTCTTTGTTTTGGGAAAAGCTCCCAAAGATACCATTTTTACAGCACCCTCAGGGAGCCTGGCTTTTGTAACACTTAGATTAAGGCACAGCACTGCCCGTGTGGCAGACCACAGCAAGGCCTTAAACATGAGAAAAAACAGATACTCTGCCCCCAACCCCCCCTCTTTCCCATAAAACAATTAAAACATCGTAAATTTGGACTAAATTGTACCCAGAAGAACCCCTTCCTCACTCTTTAATTGGTCATATTTCCTTTGTACCCTCTGTTATCAGTGCTGTGGCTGACAGTGGGGGTTGTCAGTAGTATTTCCATTAGGAAGTGCTTCTTGTTTCTGGCTTGTGCATGAAAAAATGATTAGGGATACCTGGGATGAGCCCCAAACACACATTTCATGAATTTGCTGCATCCTATTATATTGAAATAGATAGATTTGG